CCTGACGCCTTCTAAACCAGAGGTGCCTCTTAAGGGCTCATTCGATCCGATCTCGATCCCCTTGTTCCATCTCCCGAAACCCCTGACTCTGTCAGGCAGGCTTCTCTCCACAGCAGCACAAGGAATGGGGTCTACCAAGCTGGCAGCGGGCCCTACAGAACCGCATCTAACACCCAGCCCCGTCGCGGAGACGCTCGCTCGCCCTGTGTCTGCCAGTCGAGGCAACTGCGGCGGTGTGTCTGACTACCCTGCGCTCTGCCGCTTCATCCCTGAAGTATTTATTATAATAATAACTGCAGCAGCCCAGAGCTGCTGACCTTCACGGTGCTTCTTAGAAAACACCACCAAGCAGCCAGGCTGGTCTGCCCGCGACCACCCACAAGCCCCAGATCAAAGGAGCCAGAAGCCCTCTTTCAACACCGGAGCAAGGTGTGCAGAACCCCTGCGGGCTCGCTCCATCCACAACTCTCCCACCCCTCCCGAAAGGGCTCCACTCGGGCTAGTTGGGACAGGAAGCAGAGAGGGGACGGGCTGTCTCGAAGCTGCATCCTCAGGCGGCTGGAAGAGCCCTGAGGAGACTTCCTAGGGTTCCACTAAGGAGAAGGCCTTGGGCTAACCCCCATCACCGATCGCAGCCCATCCAGATCTCAGTCCACAGGTCCCACAGGAGGATAGCCCTTTCGAGACAAGCACTTTGCCATCATTTTAACGGTTTGGCTTTACTGTCATCGTGTCTGTACGGGCAGATCCCCTTTCTGCTGTTCTGAACTTTAAAAGCGTGCTCTACTTTTCACACAGGTGACTAATTGCCATCGCCTACAATCGACGGGATCGCCATACTTCTCAGTGCGTCAGCAGTACCAACCGAAACGAAGTAAGAAATCAAATTCCTCTCAAAACCCTGCAGACGTGGCTTCTGCTGACCTCTCCCGATTACCTCATTCCTCCCACAGATGGTGGGATGCACCCCGCTCATCCCCTCCCTGGCCTGTCGCCTGGCACAATCCTAGCTTCCACCCTCTCTGCACACAGCAGCCTGAAATGATCCTTGTAAGAAATAGAAATCAGAGTGCGGACCTCCAGACTGCTAACCTCCAGCAGCTTCTCCCTTTCCTGAGTGCCCACAGGGCTTCAGCCCACCTCTCTCAGAGCATTTGTCGCCATCTCTCCTGGGCCAGCCTGGGGGTGTCGTGGGGCAGTGGTGGGATTCTTGCTTTCCAAGGCAGGAGACTCTGGTTTGATTCCTGACCAGTGTACCTCGGGCACAGCCACCACCTACCTGCCTGTCGGTAGACGCTCAATGCTGAACAGGTTTCAGCAGAGCTTCCAGGCTAAGAGAGTCCAGGAAGAAAAGACTGGTGGTCTACATCCCCCTAAAACCCCCCAATACTAGCTAATAAAAACTCTATGGATCGTAATGGTTCGATCCCCAACCAATCATGGGGATGACGCAGTGGCAGGTGGTGTTTAGCTCCCTAGGACATTGAGTCACCACAAGTCAGGTATAAGTTGACCGCAGCTAACGTCTTATGTCACCAAATTCTTGTGACACCATTATTTGTGTCCAAGAAAACCCAAAACTCCCTGCCACTGAGTTGATTTCAGCTCATGATGACCCCCATAGGACAGAGTAGAACTGCCCCTTGGGGTTTTCACAGCTACATCTCTATGGGAGCACAGCCCCTCATCTTTGACCCTTGGCGTAGCTGGTAGATAGAACTGCTGACCTTGTGGCTAGCACCCCAGTGCATGGACCACTATGCCACCAGGGCTCATGATTGATGTTCTCAGTAGCATTTCTCACTTTTTATCTCCACGGTACCTACATGCAGTGCTGGGCTTTGATCGATGGAAACATGGGTGAGGCAAGAACGAAGAAAGGAAGGTAGGAGGATGAGATGGGCAAGCTGGCTCCTAAGACACAGCAACCAAAAATCCAAAATACAGAAATCGTCCACAAGTCCACTTTGAACCTTCCACAACACAATACATAGAACGTTTTATTGTCTACGCATATGGCTTTCAATGCCAACGACAACAACCACAGCAAACCCCAAGAACAGCTGACGTTTCCAGGTGAGGACCAGAGGAGGAAGACGAACGTTTTCGCAATCAGGAGTGCCTGGGACCGTGTTCAGGTCACTGCTCATCCAGGAGGGACAATTTCTACCCAGGATGCCTGCCCATCTGCGGGCCTGGCGCTGGCTCGGGCGTTCGCTTACCACCCCCAAGGGCAGCAAGCCTAGGCTGCTGCGGGAAGCAGGGCCAGGGACTGAGGCCGGCTCAAGACCATGAGATCAGTCTGCAATGATCAGGCAGCCTTGACAGGTCGTGTACTTGGCTGGTGTGTGGAACTAGCTCAGACGCTAGGAATTTGAGCATCGTGTTTGAACCTGACCAGTTGCGCTGACTGCGATTACGTACAGCTCTGCTGCTCTGGCTACCATTTCAGCTGCTTCGGGCGCTCTTGCTAATTCTGTGAAACAGCAGAACGTTTGAACCATATGGAGCTGTAATCTCCTGTCCAGGGGCCCAAGAATAAGCCTTTTAGAAGTGACCCTCAATTCCCTTCCTCGTCGGGAGGAAATGTGTGTATCATGTGTTTCCTTGTCTGCGCTGCATGCTCCTCGTGCCCTGTAAGAGACATTGAATCTGTCTTTGTCCCTCCTTTGTTGCTGAAAGTCTCGTCTTGGATTCCTAACAACGATGCCCTCCCATCGCATTCCTCTTGGCTTCCTGAGCGGCCCTGCTCCTCCCCGCACCCACACTCTAAATGCCGGTGTTCTTCCAGGCTCTGTCCTGAGCCTCGACAACTCTGCCCTCACTCCGGACTTTCTCCTTGAGTGATCTCAATAACCGTGACATGCTGCTGACATCCCAAGATGCTTCCCTGCCCAGACGCAGGCTCAGCTTCAGATCCTCATGCCCAGCCTTCCTCGATTTATATCCAATTGGCTCTCTCCGAGCACCTTCCATAAATCATGCTGTCAATCGAACTTCTGATTAGCACCCCTCACATCAGAAACCTCAAAGTTATCTTTACAGATTCTTCTTCTTTCCTACCTGCCCAGAGTCTATTCGAAATCACATGGAGAACCCCCGGAGCCGTATCCTGCCTGATGTGAACTTTGTTGATATAAATCACTAGCTATCTTGAGTCCATCCAAGTCTACCTTCAATACAGCCACTCTAGACTGAAGTCTATCTATTTATTGCCTGCAGTAACTTCCTAACTGGTTTTCTGGCAACGTCTGCCATCTGCCTTCCCTTAGCAGTCAAAAAATCTTTGCAAATTACAAATCCTGTCAATATCGCTCCTCTTAAAGCTCTCAATTGCCTTTCCACCTAGGTTTGCGCAAACACTGAGATTCCTTAGATAGCCTACCATACTTTCATCCCATCTAGTTTCCGGAGGAATTTCATATTACACCCCACCCCCAGGGCATCTTCATCTCTTTCCCATTCATTTCACTTATAGTTTAAGTTATAACTTTATTCTATTTCTGCTGATTCTTAAAAGTCTCATTTTTTAATGGAAAGGTGTGTTGGGGGAGGGTGAATTGGGATTAATAATTCCAATCCACCTCACTTGTTTTCCTTTTAGAGAAGTTACATCAAAAATTCAATCTTAGCCTATCTTTTGGGGTTATTATTCTTTTCTTGTGAGTTACAGGACTGGTCTTTGTAAACTGGTAGTCCTTAGATGGTCAAAGATAAGAACTGTCACCATTCAATAGGAAGCTCACAGGTAAACCAATACCAGACTCTGGAGATGGTGACTAATAATGAGACCAGTCTATTTATTTAAAGCAAGCATGTGTACACACACACATGCAAACTGGCCAGGAAGGAATTCTCAGTTTAAAATAAATACTGAAAGTGCCTTGTAAGTACAATCTAACCAAACACATGCTTTGTTTTTGATCATTTTACAAATACTTACATTGCACATTATTCATATCTAAATCAAGACACAAACCACCATCTATCAGTTTAGTTGAAAAACTATCTTCTTGTTGAAAAACTCAGTCTTTAAATATGAAATACTCCGTATGAATTTTCATTATATTACATCTGCATGTGACAATGGCATGTTCTAAGTGTTTCCTTTTCAACATCTAATGTTTCTCAGTTTGGGTGGATACTTGATAACAAAATCTGAACATTCCCCTCATTGAAACGGGTCTTGAGTTTTAAAGTGAATGTGTGAGCGTTTTCAAATCTGTCACACTATGTCTTCAAATTAGAGTAAGAAAACTGAGAAGACACCTCCCTGCCTCTTCCCTGCACTTCCCAGAGCCAGGTGTTAAATCAGTGCAGCCAGATCCCCTGGAACCATACCTGCCCTGAGTTGCTTGATTCCCAGAAATGAAAGCACCTGGACCATCTAAGGAAGGGGGAAAGGCAATGTGGAGAGAGAGGAAGAGGGCGGTCTTTAATCATATGGACGATGTTGAATGATGGAATGCAGACAGACCTTTTCACCTTTTATCTAAAGTCATCAAGAAAGAATAAAACTCACTCTCTCACTGCCTCACTCTCTCACTGTCTCATTCTCACTCTCTCACTGAAAAAAAAAACAGAAAAAAGAAAAAAAAAAGAAAGAATAAAACTCAGACCATTAACACTCTGTCCCCCTTTTTTGGACTGGTCATTGCTCTTTAAAAGGCCACATCTAGGGCATTGTGTCTCTACCCAAGCACTCCCTCAATGCAAGAACACTTTCTTCTAACAACCTGGCATCCTGAGATGCTCACCTTCCCAACACAATTGCTGAAGTCAAAATGGGTGCATAAGCAAATGTGGTGAAGTAAGCTGATGGTGTCCAGCTATTAAAAGATATAGGATCTGGGGTCTTAAAGACTTGAAGCTAAACAAGTGGCCATCTAGCAGGGAAGTAACAAACCCACATGGAAGAAGCACACCAGCCTTTGTGATCATAAGGTGTTGACAGGATAAGGTATTAGGCATCAGAAGACCCCAAACAAATATATTGATGCAAATGATGGAGGTCGGAGTGGAGACCCAAATCCCATCTGTAGATAATTGAACATTCCTTCACAGAAGAGTCACAAGGAAATAATGAGATAGCCAGGGTGCAGCACAGCACTGACAGAACATACAACATTCCTCCAATTCTTTCTGATAAGAACAGATACTACACTTGATCTTAGCCAAAAGACTGAGAAGCGATTCCTCTAATTCTTTCATGCTTCCTCCCCACTATCATGCCCCAAATCCGGCTAGACCAGAGCATGTACACTGGTACAGATAAGAGCTGGAAACACAGGGAATCTAGTGTTTCCAGATAAATCCCTCAGGAACAGCAATGGGAGTATCGATAAGATGAGGGTAGGGGGGAGAAGGGAAAGAAACAGGGGACTGACTACAATAATGCACAATCCCCGCACCCCTCCCCAGGGGGACGAACAACAATAATGTGGATGACGGGAGACAACAGTCGGTGTAAGATATGAAAATAATAATTTATAATCTATCAGGGGTCCATGAGGGTGGGAAAAAAAGAGGAGCTGATACCAAGGGCTCAAACAGAAAGAAAATATTTTGAAAATAATGAAGGCGACATATGTATAAAGGTGCTTGATACCATTGATATATGGATTGCTATAAGAGCCCCCAAAAAAACGAGTTATTTATAATAAAGCAAAGGCCACATCTATTATCACTAAGAGCTCATAGTCCATTGCATTATAACCTGGGCTTGGGAATGGTACCGTGGCGATGCCCCAGAGCCTGCTGTTGTTTTCAGGTGCCATCGGGTGAGTTCTGCCTCACAGTGACCTTGTGCACCACAGACGGAAACAATGCCTGGTCTGTGCCGTTCTCGTAATTGTTCCCAGGCTTGGTCCCTTTGTTGCGGCCAGGGTGTCACCCCATCTCGTTGAGGGTCTTCCTCGTTTTTTTTGCTGCCTCTCTACTTTACCAAGCATGCTGTCCTTCTCCAGAGACTGGTCTCTCCTGATAGCATGTCCAAAAAATATAAGACGAAGCCTTGCCTTCCTTGCCTCCAAGGAGCGCTCTGGCCGAACTTCTTCCAGAACAGATCTGTTTGTCCTTTTAGCCGTCCGTGGTACTTTCAACGTTCTTCACTGGCGCCACAGTTCAAATGCATCGATTCCCCTACGGTCTTTGTTATTCGATGTCCAACTTTCACAGGCATGTGAGAAAACGGAAAATACCATGGCTTGGGTCAGATGTACCCTAGTTCTCAAAGTAACATCCTTGCTTCTCAGTACTCTAAAGAGGACTTGTGGAGATTAGCCAGTGCAATGCATCGTTTGATCTCTTGGTTGCTGATTCCATAAGCATTGGTTGTGGAGTGAGGATCATACCAGGAGACCAGGCCTGAGGATGTCTTCTCCCAGCACCCTATGGGGGATCCCAGGGCAGAAGGTCCCAATAAACAGGGAGCTTGGGGGATGCCAATCTTCGAATGGCAAGGAAGTTGAAGGTGAAAAGGGAAGGCGAAGCCTCCATCCGAATGTGGTCAAGGGTGAAAGGACACCTTGGGACGCAAAGCTAAAGAAGGGCTTCCCCTCCCCTGACACGTTCCCCCTTCCTGACACCTGCAAAGACTGCCACGGCTGGCCGGCTGGCTGGCTACACTATAGCGACGCATGTTTATGGTAAGGATTCTTTATGAATGTACAAGCTAACCTCCTCCCGGGGCTCTTTCCGTTACTCTGATACACTCATGCTGCATTCTTACAGATCAAATGTAACAATTCTATCAGGAGCCACGTTTTCAACAGCATGTCCTCAATTGTCTCAATATTTGAAACTTTTTCATAAGGCTATTGCATACTTAATAGGCTACAGTACAGTGCAAACTTAATTTTTATAGACACTGGGAGTCCCTCCGACTGAAAAAAAATCACCTGGCTTCCTTTATTGTGAAGCTCACTGTATCGAAGTGGTCTGGAAACAGATTCACAGTATCACCGAGCTATGCCTATCATTACCCACCCACACTGTGCCCAGCACCCTCCTGATCACCTAAAGAAGGGATTTCTATACTGCAAACATAGCTAAAAGGAGACCTGGTGGTGTGGTGGTTACACATTGGGCTGTTAATCACAAAGTCACCAGTTTGAATCCACTGACTGCTCCACAGGGGAAAGACTTGGCTTTCTACTCTCCTTTCTAGTCTATCCTAAAAGGCCGCTAAGTGTTGGAATTGACTTGCTGGCAGCGAGTTTGGGTTCGTTTGTTGTTTTTTTGTTATTTCTGAAGATATAACTGTAAAGAACAGCAACTCTATTCAGGAAGGACATTTGAGTGTTAGTCAAGGACTAGGGTGTCTGTGATCATCTCTGACATGGCCTAGGAAACAGCCCCATCAGGCCTTGTGAGATGCAGCTCGCATCAAGAAAGCCCCAAAGTGCATGACACTAGAGGTGACACTAAAGCAGGGGTCCTCAAACTACGGCCCGCGGGCCACATGCGGCCCGCCGAGGACATTTATCCGGCCCGCCAGGTGTTTTTGACTCCTTTTTATTTTTACTTCAAAATAAGTTGTGTGCATAGGAATTTGTTCATAGTTTCTTTTTAAACTATAGTCCAGGCCTCCAACGGGTCTGAGGGGCAGTGAACTGGCCCCCTGTTTACAAAGCAGTGTGAGGACCCCTGCTCTAGAGCAAGCCCGATGAGAGGAAAGAAATGGAGTCTAAGTGCAGAAAAGCCGACGTGCACTGGAAGCATGAAGACATTGTGAACATACGGTGAGCGTGGCGTTTTCATTTGTTATGTTGGCTCTCTAAAAATAAGTTGCCCGATAAATCGATCTTTCTCTTTCAATGTTTTATGAGAAAGATATCTGGGAATAAGGAGATTACCCCGAGAGGTTTGCTATGGCTCCATTCCTTCAAAAAAAACCAAACATTTCTCTGTGTGTGTGTGTGTGTGTGTGTGTGTGTGTGTGTGTGTGTGGTGTGTGTGTTCTCAGGACCCACCTTACCTACCATGATAGCGCACAGCTTTGACCAAAGAGCAATAGGTACTTCATTGACGTGTACAAGGGTGGGAGTGAGCTTAGGGCATCCTCCTTAAAGATTGTTTTCTCGGCCAAAAAGGAAAAAAAAAAATCCACTCAAAAAGTGTGCATTAGAACTGTATTGCTTAAAGGCAGAAGCAGTAAATGGGGAGCTAGGGTCCCAGTAACCTTTATGGATCCATAAAGAGAAGTCACAACCTTTCCAAGAAGAGATTGGCCCATGAAGACACGCACCAGGAGTGGAGCCAGTGTCTGCATCTCAGTCAGACAGATGTCGGGCTTCTCCACGCTCATTGCTGTGTCAGGTCAGGAGTGAGCTCACCTCAGTCCCTCAGATCTCAACAACTGACAGGGCCTGCCCACCATGGTCCGAGCAGGTGGTTCAGTCAAGACCCGTAGTTTCCCATCACTGGTGGGTCCATTGCGATCCCGAACCACCACCACATGCCGTGGAGTTGATCCAGACGCACGACAACCCCGTGTGGATCAGAGCAGAACTGTGTTCCCGAGGGTTGCCAACGGCTGGTTTCTCAGAAGTAAATTGCCACGCCTGTCCTTCGAGGTAACTATGAGTGAACTTGAACCTCCGCCCTTCCCTTACTAACCAATCACGCTAAACATGTGCACCGTGCAGAGACTCCATTGCAAACTAGGCCAGTCTGCTTGAGATAAGAAAAGATCTTTAAACATCAGGAATTTGTTGTGCAGTGCCAGAGTCAGTGCTGACCCATAGTGATGCTCTGCACCACAGAACACAACAGGGGCTGGTCCTGGACCCTCCTTAAATTATTCCTATGCTCGAGCCCATGGTTGCAAAACTGGTGGCGATTGAAATAGCAGTGAGTGTGTGCAAAGCCTCAATGCTCTAGCCCTGAAATTGACCCGTTCCCGGAACAGTCCCCAGTCTATACAAATGTTCTCTAACAGGGGAGAAAAACAACGTTTGGATGTGCTATGCACACATAGATTCAAAACCAACAATCACTGGAGAACAATCACTGGTAAGATAGAAAGATTTTATCATTGTCCCTCACCTGTTTCATCTGTTAAACTGAGCCACTTGGTCAACTCCAAGCTACACGATAATCTGAGAGCAGAGTATAACCAAGACAAGGAGTTATTCGGTCACTTGCAATCTGTTCTCTCCTAAAGGCTCCAGAAACTGGAGTTTGTGCCTGGTCTAAACCCTCTCTCTACTCTTTTCTTAAAGAATGGGCCACTGTGTTGACTGTGTTCATGGACATTGTTTAGTGACACCGCAGACGTGACCTGGATTCATAGAGACCCCAGTTGACTCAGTACAATTGCTGCACGCACTTCTCTAGGCTGTGCTCTTTAAGAGCCCTTGTGGCACAGGGGTTACGAATTGGGAGGCAACCAGAAAAGGTCAGCAGTTCAAACCTACCAGGGGCTCCATGGGAGAAAGAGGAGGCTTTCTACTCCCATAAAGAATTATAATCTCAGAAACCTACAGGACAGTTCTACCCTACCCTATACAGTCCTTGTATGGTCACTGTAAGCCAACATCGATTCAATGGCAGTGAGCTTTTGGTTTGTTTTGTATTTAAAAGTTTTATTGTGATATAATCCACATATCATACAAATTCAATAATTAAATCATATCAAGAAGAGTTGTATAAGCATGACCACAATGAATTTTAGAACATTTTCTTCTTTCTGGTACTCCTGTCAGAGCTTGGCTTTTCGTTTGTTTGTTTGAACCTTTACGGGAACAGATGTAGCAGGTCTTTCTCCCACGATGCGTTCAAGCGGTCCGCCTGCAGTTAGCAGCCGGGCATTAACCATTGTGCCACCAGGCTGCAAGAGGCCACAGGTGTCCCACCTAAAGACAGGATTCTCTGACAACAAACCAAGACCCCATGAAGCCTAACAATTAATGGAAGTGGAAATTCCTCATAAGCCTGCAAAACACATCAAATAGCCATCACAGTAAAGAGTATTAAGACAGCAACTGAAATCTAGTCCTGTCACGAACCATCTAGCTTTGGTTGGGACAGTCACGTTTCTGTGCCTCAGTTTCCCATCTGTACCATGCTGGGGACTGTCTCCCTGCTGTAACCAAGGGTCACAACTCGAGGGGCGGCTTTACCTCCCTGTGTGTCATGCTCCTCGTCTGTAACATGCGGGCCTCTGTCAAAGGACCCTATGGCCTCTGCTAA